AAATATAAAATATTACATTTGTATAAAAATAAATATTAAAAACATTACAAAATATATTACAATTTTATTGTTTTAATATTGTTGGAATGAACATAGCTCTTATTACGTATTTGAAGATATAGAAACAAATATTCTTACATATATACAAATATATGTTTACATTTCTTTCTCAAATGCATTAATATGAAATAACATTAATGAAATAATATATATATGTATATATATGTATATATTATTGTCATGGAAGCACCTAATGTTTCTGGTTTAACAAATATAGCTTTTATTTTTCAGCTGCAATTAATTCTGTCTTGTTGTTTTCAGTAATCAATTGTAAAAGACTCCCATTAACTGGACGTTCTTGATTTTGTGACCATTTCCAAAAGAGACTGTAAGATGAGATACTATTAGTAAGGAAACAATTATAAAAATATAAAATAAAAAGAAAGAAAGATTTTATTTACTCTGCAACAAATTCAAGTGGAGTCCATTTGGATGTATCAGCTTTTGGCATCCATTTTCTATTCATAGGTGTGTCTAAAGTAATAGGCAAAATAGAAGCAACTAAAGAATCCTTTGGAAGACCACTGTCTTTAGCTGCTAAAGATTTAGTAAGTTGATGAACAGCAGCTTTAGCCATTCCATATCCAATCATTCCTGGTGTTTCTGCTAAAGCTGCTTTAGCACCAGTTAATGATAAAAATCCTCCTTCTTTCAAGTGTTGAGCAGCAATACTAGCAGCAATTGTTGAACTCCATACACTTTGCTTCCACATAAGATCACTGTTCTTTACAAATTCTTTATTGCTTGCATTTCCACCAGCCCATCCACCAGCAACACAAATAATTGCATCTACTTTATTTCCTTTTAAGATATTTGTAATTTGTTGCAATATATCAGCTTCCTAATTAATAAATAAAACTAATCACATAAATGTATGTTATTATTTAATTAGACATAATTTAAAAAATTACCTGTTCTTGCCAATTTTTATCTGCTTTTACAATCACATTTGCATCAGCTTGGTCATTTGCCTTCATATCAATACATCCAACCCACTGTGATTATAAAATTAATAGAATTTTATATAAATTACAATTATAATATAATCATTTCAGAAAATATAATTTGTTTAAAAATTATATATATATAATGTAATATGCAGTTACAAACATATTAATATTATAAAATTAACAAAATTTTTTTAAGTTTATTTAACAGACATATCATACATATATATTATATATGCAAGATTCTGTATATGAAAGGTTCTGATTCATTAACTATGACCTTGATGTATTTTTCCTGCATACTTGAGATTTTTAAATAGAATTAGATTTGTAATTCTATATCCTTCTTTGTTGGAATTATTTCTTTTATAGCGAAAATATATTATTACATTTATACAAAGTTTCAAAATATTTGGATTTCATAATATATTTCGTTCTCTACTAATTTCTTAACATTCAAAATAGTGCGCGAAAAATTACTTTACCGTTTGAACTGGTCGAAAATTCTATGAAATCATTATATGTAAAAAAAAATATTCTATAAATTTTTATCTTTTGAATAAAGATGTATAAAATAATTTATACCTAGAATATGTGATATATTTTTTAAACGTGAATGCGAAGAAAAGATGAGATTTCGTCATTCATAAGTTTCTGCCTAACAGTTGTTTACAGTTAATTTTCAATAAACGCTCAAACTGAATATGTTATCAATGAATAAATGATCAGTAATTTGTTTTTTTATCAAATGAAACTAATTAACACATTTTTATACGTATTACTTTCAAAAAACATCAATAAAAAACTAGAACTTCTATGAGACAAGTAAATTCCATTGGTAGCAAAGTTGACATTTAGATCCTTTTACATACAGACATTTAGATCTTTCGCAGACATGTATTGTTGTCATTATTACTTACCCAATTTTTCGACTTAAATTTTGAGACACAAGTCGAACCCAAAGCACCTTTGCCACCATATACAAAAACGCGTCCAAGCATTGTATCCATTGTTCGATAAAAGAAACAACTTCACGTTTCGGGAGTTGCGATTATATACGGAAGAGTACGAAATTGTACGAGAATCTTTCGGGAAAGTTCGTAAAAGGAGTGCTAGATTGCCACATTTTCGACACAAACTATAAAAATAGATTGTCAACTGAGTAATTGATATTGCTCCGGAGTATCTTAAATAACTTTAAAAATAGTATAGGCGTAAATTTTTAGTTTGCACATAACAATTGCTATAAAGTGAATTAAAATAATTATTAATTCGATATGAGGCTACACAAATTATCATTATATACGATTTAGTCGATATCCTGTAAAGAATAGAAGAATTTTCAAATATAATATATTTAATCAATTTATTTATTGCACATATGCCTTTTGTTCTGCAATGTTATGTTCTCAAGAGAATTTATTTAAGAAATAATCAAACAAAATTGATTTGGTTTGTAAAAAATAAAGTGATCCAATTTGCGATATTTGAATTTCCCTCGTGTGTTTGTTAGAAATGTGGCAACGTTGCAGTGACAGAGACCCTGCCCGCAACGTTCTCCGGGAGCGTAGGTCTAGTGTGACGTCACGGTAGCCTAGTTGGGTTAGGTTTTACGCTGGAAATTCTAACGAAAAATTTTTTGTTTGACGATTAATGTTTTCCCCATTGTATCTGCCGCATTGAGCGACGTGAAGAGCTAACGCAGTGGCGAGCAGTAATCGTATTTCGTAAACCGTTCGATCGCGAGACTTCGCGCTATCGGCGTATATGAGATTTTAAACGGAAAATGAATCGACATGACGGTACGTACGTGTGTGCTGTTTCTGACTAGCAAGTCAGCCTTCACTTCACATGCGAAATTTGTTTTATGTTGATGGCAAAATTTTTCGATCATGGGGTATTTGGGGGTATGCATAAAAAATTTGTGTAGACTCATCGTCGATATTACGAAATCGAGAATGTGTGAGATTTTTCCTAAGATATTTCTTGTAAGCTCTGTACCAAAGGGTCTAATGTCAGAGGCCAGATGGCAGCACTTATAAAAAATTTACTCCAATTTCTTTAGGTTTATAATGCTCTTTGATGATTGTACTAAATTTTTTTGCAATGTCATCATCTTTTCCTATTTTAATTATGTGAAATGAACAAAACGCATGAGTAACATTTCCTGGTCGTATCTCAAGATGCACTCTGCCAAATAATTTCTTTGAAATTGCTTTTCTTGTTCAATCCCCTTCTCTTTCTTACAATGTTAAATCTGTAAAACATATTGAAACATGTTTCTCTTATCTTATATTTTTAAATTAGTCATTTTTCTCACTTTTCTTATCTTTTGTATTTGTATTTTTTTGAATAATGCATTGCTTGTTGTATTCTAATAGTATTATATTAACATCACACAATATAATTGCATTGAGTTTTTAAGTTGATCTGTCATTTTACTATAAAGTAAAAAATGGTCATTGTTCAGTGCTTAAATAAATTTAGCACATATACTCTTTCTTATTTACTTAACATCTACACATGTTACATAATTGAAACTAGAAATATTGTATTTCAAAACTCAAAAATGTTGTCGACTATTAATACACATATATGTCTTAATTTTTATATCATTACAACAAAAGAGAAATTATATTTAGCTTATTGTATCTTTTAAATTATGTATATATATATATGTGTGTGTGTGTGATATTATGTATATATATATACATACATATGTATATATACATACATACATATATATATATATGTATGTATGATTTGTAATATTTAACAATAAGAGATAAATGTGAAAACGCATAAAATAAAAGAATTATGTTTTACATAGCAAAAGTAGATTTAAAAATGCACATAATTACAAAAAAATTATATGCATTATGTGTACATAGCATTATTTCAATATAATCTTATTATTTTATTTATTTATGGTTATGTTCAAAATCTTTCATTATTGAACTTAATAAATTATTTAGTTGTACTTGAGTTAGATTTTTTTACTTTAAAAACTATATATATTTGAAACAGACTTAAGTACTTTATCTTTAATAGATGTAGTAAAAGGTTATTATATGTAGATATCAAATATATATAAATTATATTTTTTCTTAAATTCTTTGTATAAATGTTTTTTTGTTTATGTGCTATGTATTTGATACTTATAATAAATCTGATTTTGAAAATGCTACTTATATATCTATATATAATAATTATTTATTTTAGGGGTAAGTTGTGACGCCTGCTTAAAGGGGAATTTTCGGGGTCGCAGATACAAGTGCCTCGTATGCTATGATTATGATTTGTGTGCCAACTGTTACGACGGAGGTGCCAGTACAACACGTCACCACAGTGATCATCCTATGCAGTGTATACTTACTAGATCTGAGTTTGGTAAATTAATTGTTAAATTCTATGGACAATAATTCTTTTGAATATAACTATAGGAATTAATTTTTTAATTTATTATTTTGTAGAATTATATTATGGTGGAGAAGCAGTAAGTGTAGAACAACCACAATCTTTAACTTGTCCTTACTGTACAAGAATGGGTTTCACTGAGGCTACACTACAAGAACATGTTGCTGCAGATCATTCAGACACTTCTTTTGAAGTTGTATGTATATATATATATGTATAATATATATAAGTACTTATCATACATTATCTTTTGTATCAGACAAACATTTGTAAATTGCAAATTTTGTCATAGGTTTGCCCAGTATGTGCATCTGTCCCAGGAGGAGATCCTAATAATGTGACTGATGATTTTGCGGGTCATTTAAGTTTGGAGCATCGTAGCGGACCAAGAGACTTGATCTCTTTTCTAGATGAACCAACTTCAAGTCGATATACTGGTAGACGGATAACACATGCAACTAGAGTTGTTGGTGGATCACGGCCTCGCAGGTATGTATAGTTAATATCTGCCTTAGATTAAATAATTGCAAAAAAAATGTTATAATATCATTATAATATCGTAAGTATATTCATGAAAGCTTAGAAACTATTTTTTACTAAAAGTAAATATGATGTGTGTTTAAATACTAATTTATTAATCTATTTATTAATTTATTTTTTAAAAACTTTATTAATATTGATTATCATGAATTGCATTGATATATCAATTTTGTAATGTTTGATTGCATGTATTTTGTTAAGCATCATTTTTCATTTGTTGTATAACATTAACAATATTGTTTATCAATCATTATCATTATTTTTTTATTGAAATACAGTATAATAGTCACGATAGCATATTATACACAAAAGATGCATTTTATTTTCAAAATGCCTAAAAAACGCTAAACAGGATTTCAGCTTCAGTTCATCATCATTTCATCTTAGATAATGTTCATTGGCGTGTCATTGGACCTGCAGGTCCAATATGCATTTCAGTTCGTCCGGAGGATTGAGTCCGAGTAGTCGAGAAGGTATAGATCCAATTACAGAATTACTTTCTCAATTATCCGGTGTTCGTAGAAGTGGTGGAGGAACTGGTCAGAGTTCATCAGCACCATCGCAATTACAACAATTGCAAATGCAGCTACAGTTGGAGCGACAACAAGTTAGAGTATGTATAATTTAATAATGAAAAAAAAAAATTTCTAACTCAGAAATTATAATAAAAAAAAAAAATGGATTGGAAGTTGTACTTTTTAGATATAAATATAAATGTTATTGAATTATAAATACATGATACAATAGAAGTATCTTTTCAGGCTGCTAGACAACAATTGGAACGATTACCTAGGAGACAGACTCAGGTTCTTGGCTCTGCAAGTTGTGGAGGAATTATTAGTGGAAGTGGTCATTCTACTACTATGACCAGTGTGGTAGCAAATAGTACGATTAGTAATAATAATACAACTAATGTGGCGAACCCGTCCGGCGTATCATCTACTAGTTCACAGAACTATATGTTTTTATTGCCAAAGTATGTGTTATGTATTAGTATTTGTTCATATAATAACTTATCTAAAAGTGTTCTATCTAACGTATCTAAAATATGATTAAAATATTGACATTTCTTATGTGCTGATTTTTAAGTATTTTTATAAATACATTTCTGCGTGACACACATACTCACGCATACAGTCTTTTGTTTAAAACATGCGAAACTGCATGTCATGATCAGTGCGTAGGATGCCAAAAGTTATATTTTAAGATGGTTCCTTGAAACGAATATAGTTTTTCAAAGGACAGTAACCTTGTGTTTATACATATATTTTTTTAAAGTCTTATATTTATTCTAATTAATAACACATGTGTGCACTTCTCGTTTTGTAGATGTATTACCAGTTCTCTCTCCGACTCACAATTGCAAAATATTGAACGTGAAAGTGCAAATAGAAGTCTCTTTACGTGCGAACTTATTCTTGGAACACTTTCTAAAACATTGCCGGAGTTAACACAGGAACAATCTGTAACGCAAACACCAGTATCAAGTGCAACTACTGCTACAAGCAGTCCTGAAACACCAAATGCTAACTCTTCCACAGTTTCTACGAAGAAATTAAATGTAACTCAAGAAGCGAAAAGGGATCAAACAATGAGTAAACATGTAACGCAAACGTCTACGCAACAATCACATACTGTTCAAACTACTACTGCTGGGAGTGTGGGGACAGGTCTTCAGAGTCAAGGATTACCCCCAAATTCTAACAACCTCGCGTTACAAAATACACCTATGGTTCAAACATTGATGCACAGTGTATTACCTGAGTCATTGGTAAGTACATGAAAAATTTAACTTTGAAATTTGAAGAATTTAACTTTTTTATTAGAGAATTGTAACGAATATAATTTAGTATCTATAATTTTGTTATGCAGGTATTGCAGGAACCACTGTCACTACCGTATAGTAGAACTATCAGAGAACCGATAGTAACCCCAGCACCAGCGTACCTTAGAGGTGGGGTCGGTCCAGTTGGTGTAACAGGTCCTTCACGTAGGAAGCCAGTTAGGGCTGTAGATGGCAGAAACCAATCTACGGAACCACCGCCTCCACACTAACCCTTCCTTAGCCCGTACCCACCCACCCTGATTCTTCACAGGACCCTCTAGCACTAGTCCTAGCACTGTTTAGAACACCTCATCATTATTGTTATTATTATAATATTATATATTAATAATTATTCAAATGCCCTCCTCCTCACCCTCCTTATCTTATCAATTTTCAAAACTCTAATCTCGCCATCTTTTGTCGTTATGTGACATGGAACAAGGGCAAGGGCTGATTCGCCGACACATGCAAATAATGTAAATAACTCACTTCTTGCAGTCATATACACTCCTCGTACACACTCCTCAGCGAGTCTTGCCACGTTCTACATCGATATTATATCCATTTACAATGACTTGATCGAGGATAGAGACGGGCAGGTAAAAATAATAACAATATAATTACATTAGTGTTTTTTGTTTTGGTGGTTATATGGGTTTGTTAGAACAGAGTTAGATTGATAAAATACTCAGTTTTGTTTAACACGTAAAATCTCGGAGATGTAGAAACTTTAACAATTCACAAGACGTACTGCCCGTCATACGCACCAGTTTAATTGTGTTTAATTCAAACTGGTTAAATTCTTTTGGTCGTCGTATGTTTGATATATATATATAT